AAAAATCAACTCACAATATCCAGAAACGTAAGGATTGATAACCCATTACATGCTCAATGGTTTTACCGGTTGAATCTTGACAACTTAAGAACAACAGCTTGTCAGTGTTGGATGCCAAGCAAGAAGTAAAGGAGGAGTGGGGGTAGTGATCACACGCAGAAAAAATAGTTTTTAAGGTGGTATTTGAAGATATTATTTATTATTTATTTGAAGATAGAGAGGGGGCGAGATGGAGGGAGAGGCAAAGACTGGCAGATCAAAGTATAAACTATGTTTGTGTCCTTACAATTCCATTTGGTCTGTAACTGGTTGGTCACTATGATCTGCATTTTACTGGTCCACAGATTATTTAATGATAAATTTAATTTACATCCCCCACCTAAATCACGTTTATCGATAAAGTTTCATCTTCGGCATCACAAGACTTTTACTAGCATTATTGCTTGGTTCTACTGGCTCACCATCACCCAGCAGATCAAATTCAAGATGTTAAAGACCCCATGGAACTATTGAAAAGAGAGGGTATTTCTCCCAGTGTCCTGGCTAACAAATCCCTCAACTAAAATACTCATCACTCATCCAATGCCTGTCTGTGTACAATTGGCTCTGTGTTTCGCCCCCAAAAATACAGTTAACCCACTTTAAGTATATCCTGTGAAGCGCTTGAGAAGTTTCAACAACATGCTAAGGCTTTATAATCAAATGCAAGGATTATTATATTTGCAGCCACACAGAGATCTGGCAGCATCCAGATGAATAAACTTACCCACATTATCCTAAGGGTTAAACATGGAGATCATCTATCTTTCTGGCACGATCCAAATTATTTGCTTTTGCAAATCAGGTGAACATTTTCTAATCAACCTAATCTATACTAATTCAATTTTAATTAGCATATATAACACATTAACACATTCTCAATTTTAACAGAGCACAAAGTTCATTCTTATTTCACGAGCACTGCTTTTATATTACAGCACTGATGGATGGCACTGTGAGTAATGTTCGAGTTGAGGGGCTGACATTGGAATATTGCCCATGATAATGGTGGTTGAAGCCAGCAGGTTCACTTGCACGTGAAGCTATCTGGTCTAGAATGAGTCAGCTCACATTTGTCACATAGACCTCTATAAAGAGCCACATGTTATTTCAGAATTTAAAGGGAACAGATTAAAATCAATTGGTGACTGTGCACAATGTTGTATACTCAATCTACATTCTGCTGATATCTGTAATGACAGCACATAAACTCTAAGTGGCAGTAGCAGCACAAGGATGGAATACTAACCACAAGCAATTTTCAAACTACAAGAGAATTACAGATTTCATCCTCACTATTTTGTTCTGAACCCTATAAAGCGCAATGCATTTTTTTAGTTGAAAGGAAAGACCAAATTGTCTCCTTTGGGCTTTGGAAGCAGTTCCAATATAATGATTCTTGTGTTTCTTTAAAAAAAAGTCAACAAAGTTTAAGAGTTGTAGATTTCAATACAATTTTCAGAATAGATGTCTAACTCTAGCAAGGGACATAGGAAACCAGAGAAAACCCAAAGTATTAATGACATGAAATTTCCTTAGCAACTGTCCCAAATGGAGGAGGGTAATTTCATAAGATGTTCAAACAAAGGCAGCTCAATTGATCTAATTTTTCCAAAATACACAATCTAGAGTCCTCCAATTATAGCATCAAACGTTTTTTTAAATAATCCTGCCCTTTGGCCTCAACTACCCTGACAGTCATTATTAATTACCCTCTGGGTAAAGAAATACTTCCTGGTGTTAGGCTTGAAATTGTCTATTGTAATCCTGCACCTTTCCCTGACGCTTCTTGTTCTGCTGCGATAGTGTATCTGAAAGTATTGTTCTGGGTTTACTTTCTTAATCACATTTAAAATCTGACTAGTCACAGGGGCCCATACGTTCTAGTTCGAACCCTGCAAGTCAAATCCCTTATAAATAGTTCTCACTGAAACGCAGTGGGATGCTTGCATGTGAAGCTTATTAAATGGCAGCAGTACCCCAAGGTTTGGCTCTCTTGCACCGAATACTTTCCAGAATTAAGTAAGCAAAGTACATGGGTAGAGTGAACATAACACACAAGACAAAGGGAAATTTCACCCACAAAAAATACAGTCACTCTACTTTATAATACTGTATATCCTGTGAAGTGCTTTCATATATCTCCCTGACGTGAAAAGCACAGTGTGAGCATTATTATTTATGTCCATTTGTACATGGCATGCTTATGTGGAGCTTTGACTTGTAAGCATCCTTTTGATCATGTGGGTCACTACATGTCAAGATATTTTTGTGACCAAAACCAAAATAAATCCCCTCGGAATCAAGGGATCACTGCCACTTTGAACAGTGAGGGTAAAATGTAATGTTCTTAAAATTGTAAACTCACTCACTCGCACGCACACACGAGGAAGTCAATCACTTTGATGTGGTTCCAACAGATTGGAAGCAAGCAAATACAATTGTTCCCATATTCAAGAAGCTTGGTGGTACCATACCTACCAACTATAGACCCATTAACCCGGTAATAATTGCAAAAATTATGCAGTTATTATAACAATAATATTAATCCTTGTATTTGATACAGCGCCTTATCCTGTTGAGACGTCATTCATCAGAAAGAAAATGGAAAGATTACTTATATATAAATAATCTAATAAATGACAGTCAAAATGGATTCAAAGGAAGATGGAGTTCCTCATTGCTGGAGGTGCCGTCCTTCAGATGAAGTTAAACTGAGGTCGTCTTTGATTGTTCAGATGGACGTTAATGATCCCATTGGCACTATTCAAAAAGAAAAGGGAGTTTTTCTTGGTGTTCTGGTCAATAATCCACCAGATAAATTTGGTTATTGAATAACATGGGCCTTTGTGGGACACTGCTGTGCCTACAAAATATCATCACAATACTTTACAGTAAATCCTTTCAAGCTCGTTGAGATGTCCTTCCATGGCGAAACGTGCTCTGTCAAATGCAAGAATTATTATTGGAAGACAGTAGGGTGGATATTCTGGAAGGATGAGATCAAATGGGCCAAAGGGCCTGCATCTGAACCTATCTTGTGACATTTTCTGAATGTTCTGTATCCTTGTAAATTATACTCACTTCAATTATCCCAGATTAGCCAGGATCTCCGTGAGTCTAGAACAACATTTACATATATCTTTCATCTTTCCCAAGCTGGAAGAAAGCTTGCATTTTATGCATCTAATTATTGTCCTGCCCCAGGACAAGGTTAACCAGTGTAGGACTGGAAACAGACAAATAGAAAACGAAAACTGAAAACTTACATGCATTAGAACAAATAATTATTTAAATAACAAAAAAAACCTTCACATTAGAGACAATAGAAGCACATGTGTACTCCAAGCAATGACTCTTGCTTCAGTAGTAATCAAGCTTTTAAGAAACAGGAGCACTTGCGTAATATTTTGACTAAATATAATTTTACAGAATAGTTTTAAAGGTATCTACTTTAAAGCTGGATCTACATCATGTAAGCTAAATTTTCCATAATACTAACCAAATGTAGAGAACAAGAAAACACACTCAATGTTCAGGACTGCATCCAACATGTCATTCTATACCATAAACAAGTGTACATTTTGTACATTGCAATAGAGAGGATGGGAGAAAGGCTGTTCTTTCAGCAGCAGATGCATCTACAAGCACCAAACTATTTTAACTGCAAATTATATTTACCAAGTTATAGTAGGAGCCCTATTGTAGGCTGAAGTCAGCCTTTTTGGTTTTGTATGTATTAAAAAATGGCCAAATTCTGGGTCATCGGGGTATTGCCCACTGAGAATATTCAGAAAATGACAACTGCAGTGATCTAATAACAAGAACAACATTACATTTGTAAAGTGCCTTTCACATCGGAAGGATCTCCCAAGGCACTGGACAGTTTTGCACCTGAGCTGGGGGTCGGGATTGGGGAGCGCAGAGGGGGAAGCAGGGAGATCAAAAGCATGGTCAAAGCGGAGGGTCTTGAAGGAGGTAAGGGAGGGGGCGAGGCGGAATGGAGGAGTTTCAGAGGGTGGGGGGAGAGTGGTAGAAGGCCGGCCCGCCAATAGTGGGGCAAGCGAGACGGGGGACGTGAAGCAGGCCGGAGTCCACTGAGTGGAGGGAGCGAGCAGGATGGTAGGCGGTTAGGAAGTCACAGAGTTAGGGGGAAGCAAGACCAAGGAGAACTTTGAAGATGAGGACCAGGATCCTGAACTGTATCCTATGTGATGGGAAGCCAGTGGAGTCAGGCGAGGATGGGGGTGATAGGGTTGCGGAGCCTGGTGCAGGAGAGGACACGGGCTGCAGAGTTCTGGGTGATCTGCAGCCTATGGAGGAAGGAGTTGGGGAGGCGGACAAACAATGAGTTTGCATAGTCAAGCCTCGATGTAATGAAAGAATGTATAAGGGTTTCGGCGGCCTGCGGTGTGAGACAATGGCGGAGCTGGGCGATGTTACAGAGGTGGGGGAAGGCAGAGGGGTCATGGTGCAGATGTGAAGTAGAAAGGATAGTTGAGGGTCAAACAAGATGCCACGGTTCTGAACTGACTTAAGCAGGGTGGCGTGTGCAACCATGGATGGTGATGCTGTGAGCACCTGAGGTGAGGAGGCGCTGACGGAAGCGAATCAGGGGAGCCTCGGGTCGTGTTGACGTTCAACTGAAGAAAATTAGCTCTCATCCAGAACTTGATGCCATGGAGTCAAGGGTGGAGGATAACCAGGAAATTGAATATTTTTCTGCTTTCGGCTTTCTAAGCCAATGAGTAGTAAATATGGAGGTAGTAACCATAATTTTTATTAATCAGGGATTTTATGAACCCCCAAATACTGCCTTATAAAGGAATTCTAGTGTATTTTAAATATGTTTCTTAAATGAACACATTCAGAGAAGTGTATTACTTCAATAAGAAAATAAACATGCAATTAGTTTTCTATGTTACAATAGTCTTATTTGAACGAGAGAAAAATTAACTCACCAAGTCTACATGTAAGAGTTTCCAGGTCGACTGACAGTGCTGGGATCTGCTGGAGCTGTTCCTGCAGCTCGATTAAATGGTTCTTCTTTTTCTCCCAGTATGCCGACAATACCACCACTTCACCATCTACTGCCTGTAACATTATGAATCAGAATTGAGTCAAACCTCAAAACGCAAAATACTGTAGATGCTGGAAATCTGAAACAAAAACAGAAGTCACTGGGAACAATCAGCAAGTCAGACCACATCTATGGAGAAAGGAAAGTGAGTCAATGCTTCAGGTCCACGACCCTTCATCCAGTTCCGACAAACGGTTAACTCACAAAAGGTTGACTCACTTTCCTTTCTCCATAGATGCTGCCTAATCTGCTGAGTGTTCCCAGCGACTTCTGTTTGTGTTGAGTCAATCCTCTATGGCTGTGTCAGCAGCTTGATATCCGATCAGCAGTACTCCAGGGCACTTGTGATAGATCAGCCAGCCTGGCTCATTGGTATGACGTGGAGAATCACAGGGACTGAGAATCTTCCCACTTGGCTCCAGAAAACCCTGCAAGCCAACAACCTAACGGGCAGACGGTGCTAACTGGACAAGCAGTGGGAAGTTTAATAGTCCACTGCAATGGCAGGCTGCATGATTTTAGCTGGTTAAACTCCAGCAAAACTATACACACACACCGGGGCACATTCAAGTAATTAGAGTGGAGATAGCATACCACTCTATACTAAATAAACAGAAATTATACATGGAACTCTCAGTAGTTTAGTTAAGAGACTCTTTAAATCCCAGCAGAGTTTGACACCACCACATAGGAACCTTGCAATTTAATCAGACAATCTGACATTTCCATGTTGTAGACTGTAATGAAGTAATCTACATACTTCATGTCCAAATCATATCCTCATGATTATAGGGTTTGCTTTGTAATGGACTGTTTTATAATGACCTACATCATTCTATAATTTGTGCTTAATCCTCCCAAATCTTTTTAACTTTTATTGCATTCTCGATTTCTGACGTGACAGATGAATAACTTGGATCTAAATGAACATTTTGTGATCAATTCTGTTCAAGAAAAAGAAAAACTGCTTTAGCTCTACCATCGACTTCACCATTTATCAGAATGCTGCAGACAGTTTTGACAGCTGTAGATTGGGTCATCAAAAGGTTTTCACTGATGTGGATCACTTTCCAATATCAAATACTATGGTTTATAACTTTACTGTCATTCACCACTCATGGTACCCAATACATCCTCAAATTACTTATTTGACTGATAAGAGTATATGAGCCGGTTAATGCAAGATAATTTTGCAGCAGCTTTTATTGGGTAACGTTATTCTCCTCATTTATTTCTAAAGGGAAGGCAATGCATAGAACATTATTTGCCAATTAGGTTCCACTGCAGTTCACTTATTTTATTCATCTTTCCAAGGTTCGATGGGATAATGCTTTAGCAAGAACGTGTTTGGTGCAGAAAAATTATTTACTGTTGAGCAGAACCATTTGTGGCCTGCCATTTTGGGAAACTTTCAGTTCAACTTGATGGCTACATATTAAACTTGTGTGGATTTGATTTTTTTTAAAAAAAATCAGTACACACCAATATTAGTCAGTTTTTGCAATATTCTACAAATAAATTTGCATCAATAAAAAGATATTTTTTTACAATGCTGGAGGGTGCAGAATTGAGAAAAAAGTAAAACAACAAGATATGTAATCAAAGGTGAGGGATGGGGAAGAAGAGTAGGAGTCGCTAAAAACACAAGCTTGGAGTGAGTGACACACCTAAAGGTGGTTCAACAGGCAATTTCACACAGATAGTAAAAATGGATAAATTATAATTCTCAAATTGTCTCAGTTTTGTATCTCCCATGTATAAAAATTGTAGGCGATAAAAAAAATTGTCAATATTACTTAATCCATAAAACTCACAAAAATAAAAATCTAGTTCTACTAACCCTATTGATTTTCCATTTGTGCACCAACTATTTAATTATTACTTTCCAGTGCTTTTTTGGTCAGCTAGGTATCTGATACTTGTAGCAACCCATCACCACAATTATGAGCCTCTAAATCAGACAGAGGTCCATGCATGTCATATAGAAATTGCATATGGAAATTCCCATGTATGGAATAAATACACATTTCTGGAGTGAAACACCCCGATTACTAATTCTGACTAGTTTTAGGTGCAAATTGCCAAGAGTCAAAGCTTGAGGACTCCAGAACGGGTGTTAAGAGTTCTGCTGAAGTCTAACTAGTTAAACGTCACATAGGTTGCAATTGAAAACAATGCCTGGAAAGCTTCCTGCTTCTTGTGCAGCTATTCAATCCTTTATTAACCACTGTGCCGTTGCTCTCAATATGTTCCTTTGTTCACCCTTCACTTAGTAGTTCTTAGCTCCAATCACACTTAGGCCTCTTCTTTATGTATCCATTCCACACTCTTCATTCACTTTGCGCATTTCCCAAGTTACTCTTCTAACATTTTCTTTCTACCTCTAAACCCAACACCCTCCCTCAGATTTCCTTTAGCCCAGTCCCTTCATCCTTACTTTCTAGAGCTGTTGTTGCCCTCTGACACTATCTCATTACTCAACATCTTTCCCTTGAGGCATTTGTCACTGACTCAACTGATCTAATCCAGATAAACAGTTACCAGTGAGCGGTAATCTCTAACCCAGTTTGTCTGCAGCGCGTCTGCTAATCTTGAGGCAGAGCACAAATTTAAATTGAGGGTGCCATCTGGCTCTGTAAATTTAAGGAAGAGGATTCAAGCTGCAAAGGGGCCCGTGATCAAAAACAAGAGCTCTTTGAAACATGGGGAGGGTAATAATGCACCTTTTTGCAACTCTTGATGTACATCTATTCAGTATCTAAAATAAAATTAAAGCAGTTTAAACTTCTCCATACTCCTTATTCACAAAAGATTGAGGATAGTACACTCAATCAAACACACTAGCATTGACAAAGAACAAGAACTTCTGTAGGACTAAGGAAGATTGAATAATCCTTTTAACGAGACTTCACCAGTATGATTAAAGCAGTCTGCTTTTTGAAGCTAGAAAAGATGCATCCTACTCAAATCTTAATTTAGAGTTGAACAAAAAGATGTTGCAGCAAAAAATGCTGCATCAATGAGAACTACAAATGGTTTACAGTAAAAACAGTCAAATGTGCAGAAGTTATATTAAATCCAATTTAATCAATAATCTGCAGGGCGCATGCATAATTTAATGTAGCTGGTAAGTGGGCATGTCGGCAGGTCAAGACTGTTTCCCACGATTCAATGCAGCTTGACTCGTTGCCTCATGCGCACTTATCGGCTGCAGTAACAAATTACCACATGTTCACTTTCCTACAAGCATTAGAATTGCACTGAATTGCAGGAATTGTAATTCTTCTGCGCATGCGACGAAGGGTCAAGACTATGTTTCCCACGATTCAATGCAGCCGGAAGGAAGTGCACATGCGTCGACGGGTCAGGAAGCCATTTCCCCCGATTCAATGCAGCTGGCAAGTACGGAAATAAGGGAGGGCAAGAGAGAGCTGTTGTGCATTAGAAGACGATTTCCTTATAAAATACGACTAGTGCAAAGAAATCCAAGTAGTTTTGGTAGGAAACTAAATGGGACTGGGGTGTTCATGTACGACTTAGAAAATTATACAAATTATATAAATAAGACTTATGCGAGTTTTACTGTATTACACACGTTAGTAACTTGCTTGTATTAACACTCCACAACACCTGCAATGCAGTATTTTCTGCTTTCTGTAGCTATATTTTAGAGCAAGTAACCATTAAAATTACAATATAGCTTTTCCTTGTCAAGCTCTTATCCTTAGCTGGGTTTAATCAACTCTCAATAAAAAGCTGCGCTGAATCTTAGAAAGTTAATTAGTGGTTTCTATCAGCAGTTCATTTTAAAAGTTACCCCAGGCCTACAACATCCAAACATCCCTATTTGATTTATTTTCAGCTCACGTTATTAAAAGTCACTGTTCATTTTCCAACTGTTCCTTTGCTATTTGAAGTGAATAATTCCTCATATTTAATTTTGCTGTCATTTCTAAGGGCAAGTTAGAATAAAACTAAGAGACAAGGAAATAGCATGTCACAACTGCAGGAAATAAAAAAAGTTTTTAAAAAAAATATTTATAAAAGATTGCCTCCTATAATAACAGTATGATAATCAAAATATTTTAATAATTGAAAAACTAAAGTTTTTCTTGTCAATTTAACCTATTACTATTTTAAGAGCTGAAAAATGAATGTTTCCAGTCAATTTTATTATTTGTCATTGATATGAAACTGGGCAACTAGTTGAAATAATTTTTCTAGTCACAGATGTGCAACAATACAAATTTACATAGCACCTTTTATAACCAAGGACATCCCACATTTACACCCAGTTGGTGCTGGGGAGAGTAAGGTGCTATATAAATTTAAGTTATACAGTAAAACTCTCATAAACCTTATTTCTATAAATCATATAAACACACAAGTCATACATTCATTGGAGTCCCATTCAGTTCCCTATCAAAACCACTTAAATTTCTTTACACTACTCATCTTACCTCCTAACTTGGAATGCCGCTCCCCTACTCTCCATTAATCTGACGCTTCATAATGGAGGTTAGGGGAAGCCTTGTATAACGAGAAATGATGTCTTTATCTGTCGACTCATGCGCACTTACCAGCCGGCTGCATTGAATTGCGAGAAACGTAGTCTTCATCCGTCGACGCATGCACAAAACTTCATTTTCCAATGGGATTCCAACATTTGCCAGTAAGTATGTATGGGATGACATGTCAAGATGCATTGAACTGCAGGAAATGGACTCTCAATCCATCAATGAACGAGTGCTCACCGATTGCAATGATGAATTACCCCATGCATGTTTACCGGCTGCACTAAATTACACACGCGCAATAAAGATTAATTAAATTGGATTTTACATAGGAACATAGGAATTAGGAGCAGGAGGAGGCCATTCGGCCCCTCGAGCCTGCCCTACCATTCAATAAGATCATGGTTGATCTTCTAACCTAACTCCAGCTGCCCGCAAACTTGCAAGCAAACTAGAAATTTTCTACGATTTCTATTTTACTTGCAACTCAGACTTCACATAAGTCACATGTTATGGTCCCGACTGATACAACTTGTGGGTTTTACTGTATTCTATCCCTCCCTATTAAACAGGATTGGGGGTACCGTGGTGCATAGAGCTGCAATTTATCTACCAGGAGCTTGCTGGTTCAAATCCTCGTTCAGTCCCAGCATGGGGGGTTAAATTGACCCAGCATTACTTAGTTTAGAGAGGATAAAAAAACACAGCTCGAGTTCCTGCTTCATGCCCCTCTTCAGTACCTAGTGTCAAGTCATTTATTCATGCATCAATGCTCAAATAATAAGACAATATCACACAGAAGTGTAACATTCCAGTCGTGTTAGTACTCATCTAATATTCTTGCAAGAACTTTAATAGAAAGAGTAATTGCAGTCTACTTAATGCAATAGTTACTAAATGTGGGTGCTCATACAAACACCTTTCATTTCACTCCAATTTTTCCATGTCGTTTTGAGGCGGAAAACAAGGCCACATCAAATTATTAAATTTAGTTATTCCATTTGCATACAATTATTTACATACAATTATTTACATTCAGTTGTTATCTAAATGGCTATCAAATAAAAATATAACATAAAATGAACATTTCTGCTGAATGTTTTGCCTTACCTCTCCAACTTTAGCACAGTCCTTGGATCGTTTGTGTAGGGCTGCCCATGTATCTTCATACCTTTTTTGAAACAATGAAAAATATAAATAAATCCACAGCCACACATTTAATTGATGTTTCAAAAACATAAAATTGAAAGCACATAAACTATAAGAGCTAGCTTTCAACAAACATTTAGAACTTTCTACCTCCATCCATTACATACCTCAGTTTTATTTACTTCTTTCAACAGAGGTGGGGAAGCATTTGATAAGTTTTCTACAGTTACTGTTAATAATTTACAATGAGCAACAGAAGGTTCACCTACTGCAATAGGCTTGGCCTCCAAAACCATTTCTGCCCTTATTCCAAATTTGGAGGACATTGTTCAGAGTAAAGGAGCAACACAATTTATTTTAAAACTTTGTTCTAAACCAATGAATGTGGAATATGCTGTATACAATAAAGCACATATTCAAAATGTTTTACACAGGAACAGAAAGAAACATAATATGCCAATGCATTTTCATTCCAGCTTTTATATGATCATAGCAAAGTATTTAAGGTATAGCTATATATAGACACACACACATAAAAAAAAATCCAGTCACAGTGAAAGAAACTGTAGAAAAAGTACAATTGGTAGTTGAATTCGTTAATTCCAAAAGAGGTTATACAGGACATTATTTATTTTGTTCTTATTAACCTATGCTTCAGGCACACTAGTAAATTCATAGCACAGGCCAACTCCATTATAACAGTGATTTGGGTCCATAACAAAGCGCTCTGGAACCTACCCCATGTGAAGGGCATTATATAAATGCAACTTATTGTATAACAGGCTCCAAGTTATGACCAGGAGGTTAGATCAGTCCCTGCTTGCTGGACACAGGAAGCTGCAGAATCAAGCAAGCATTCCTAGTGGTTGCAGACACTGCTAAATTTAGTGCAAATTGATCAATTACCTTTACAAAGAACAATGTAAAAAAAGCAAATATTCGGCATTAACATGCAGTTGGCGATTATTTAAATATAATTATGCATTGCTTCCCCAGTTCTCTGGTATACGAGAATGCTGTCTCTCAACCCTGACAAAAGATACCTTCATCAAATATTGGAAAATAACATTACATCACCCACATTTTAGGCAGTGTTTTGAAAGGTGAAGGAAGGTAATACTGTAGGGATGTTTATTTCCTCTGGAAACAGTTTGATCAATATCTAGTGAGCACAGATCCATATGTTTCTTCTGGTTGACTGCAGAGCAATTTGGTTTATTAACTCATTTCAACACCATCTTGGTTCTACTTCCTACCTTATTAAATTGAATAGGATCTATTTCAGTCTTGGATGGATATTTGCATTATCTCCAAAAGTACAAAAAGGTGAAACACAGAAAATGATTGGACATTGGGTGGAAAGTGGTGTTATTCCTCTGCGTGTACTTGTACTTTGTAAAAAAAATTAAAAAACATAACATTCAATTAAGCTGTACATGGGTAATGTTGCAAAGAAAACTGAAATGGTTAAATTCAGGTAAACTCAGAATTCAAAAACTTCTCCTTTTTAAGGAGACCTGCTGCACCTATTTCACATTCCAGAAGGCCATCACATTTTTACCATAAATGAAACAATTTTTAATTTTACAAGCAGTAAATTAAGAATTCTCCATAGTGCAAAGCAAAAGCTAGAAATCTGCATTTTCACTAATTGCAACATTTTACGATTATCTGAATATTGTGGTTTAATCTTGATCAGTTACACCCAAATTTTGATTTAAGAAAAATAAAATCTATAAAACAAAGAAATTGCACACTTATCGGTCTAGTCAACATGGAAGACTACCAATAGCATCCAAAAGAACATTTGTTCCAGGAACTACATCTGCTTTTATATTTTAACCAGATGACAACAACTTGCATTTATATAGCACCCTTCACATTGGAAGCTTCATAATAATCCTTGCATTTGATATAGCGCTTTTCACATCGGGAGGACGTCCCAAAGCGCTTCACAGAACACGCTGTAAAGTGAATTGACTGTATATTTGTGGGCGATTCGGTGGAGGCTTAACAGTAGCATGGCTTAACACCAAACGAGAAAGGTGGGTGGATGGTGACCAAAGGCATAGTTGAAGAGGAAAGTCTTCAGGTGTGAAGATGGGAAGAGAGGGATCATAATGGAGGGATTGAGACAAGGAGGCCATTTGAGACAGCAAATGTACCCGATGAAAGGAAAGCAGAGCTGAGTAAACACTGAGTGATCAAATGCCTGAAAGACAGGTTTACCAGAATCTGAAACTAGAGGCACTTCAGCGAAGTGACAAACAGTGTTCGAATAAAACTCCAAATTTCAAAGAGCAGTCCCATGTAAAAGGCAAGGTTTCCATGGGACTGTTAGGCAAGTTTTCTTACTTCACACGCCTATGTTTACCTAGGAGTAGGTAGGAACCTGGTTGTTAGTCGATTGGCAGATCGCTTTTCCGGGGGTAATAATGCCATCAAAAAAAATAATAGTTTGGTCACTCAATGCACGACTGTTTGTGACGATTTGCTGCCTTGTTTTGCCCACAAAGTATACAGTCAATTCACTTTACAGTATAATCTGTGAAGTGTTTTGAGATATCTCAAAGACGTGTTAAGGCTCTATCTTGAATGCAAGGATAATTATTATTAAAAGAAATCAACCAACAACTTCATGAAGTTATAATATTAAGCATTGCCAATCACATTACGGGTTTGAAGAGGTTGAATCATCAGATTCCATCTGATTTCCCCCAAATGAATTGCTACATTTACTTGACAAGAAAAAAATTTGACAATTTAAAAAAAAAGGTAACCCCATAATCAACATAATACCCATGAACTTCTATACATGAATCAAATTATGAAAAGCACCAGAATTACTTGCATGGGAAAACCCTGCAAATAATAATCCTTGCATTTGATGTAGCGCCTAATCATGTCTTTGAGATGTATCAAAGCGCTTCACAGAATATACAGTAAAGTGGATTGACTGTATTTTGTGGATGAACTCTATCTCTCTGCCTCCACCCTCAACTCCAGGACTACTGGCGTCCTGGCCGACTGCCTGCCCAACATCAAGTCCTGGACGAGGGACGAGGGACAGCTTTCTCCAACTGAACATCAGCAAAACCGAGGCCCTCCTGATTGGCTCGCGCCAGCGCCTCCGTACCTCGGGCGCTGGTATCATCAGCCTCCACGGCTGCACACTCAACCTCACTAAGCCAGTCAGGAACCTGGGTGTCTTGTTTGACCCTGAACTGTTCTTTCTTCCCCACATCTACGCCATGACCAGCACCACCTCTGCAACATTGCCAGACTCTGCAACTGCCTCACCCCTCAGGCTGCCAAAACCCTCACCCACACATTCATCACATCAAGGCTCGATTATGGAAACTCCCTCCTCATAGGCCTTCCTAACTCTTCCCTTCACAAGCTGCAGATCATCCAAAACTCTGAAGCTCGTGTACTCTCGTGCTCCAGTCTCCGTGATCCCATCACTCCCACCCTCGCCCGACTCCACTGGCTCCCCATCCCCCAGAGGATCGAGTTCAAGATCCTCGTCCTCACTTTCAAGGCCATCCATGGCCTTGCCCCCTCCTACCTCTCTAACTTGCTGACTTCCTACCAACCTGCCCACTCCCTCCGTTCAGCGGGCTCCGGCCTGCTCCATGTCTCCCGCCCGAGCCGCCCCACCGTCGGTGGCCGGGCTTTCAGCCTCTCTGCCCCCACACTCTGGAACTCCATCCCAAACACGGAAACAAGCCATTCGGCTCAACTGTTCTGTTCGGATGTTTATACTCCACATAAGTCTCCAGTCCCCAAATCCCCTTTCCATACTTTTCTATTCCCTTCTCTCTCAAGAGTGCATCACTTTTCCTCTTAAATACATTTATGCTTTCTGCTTCCAACCAAGCTTTTAGCAATGAGTTCCAGATATTCACCACCCTCTCTGCCTCAAGAAATCCCTCCTAAATTCATTTTGAGATCTGTTATTGTCTTATCTTATATTTATGCTTCATCATGTGGGACACAACAACAACAACAAAATTACATTTATAAAGCGCCTTTCACGTCGGGAGGATGTCCCAAAGCGCTGAACAGTCTGGTGTCGGGACCCGAGCATGGGGGAAGGGTGGTATAGGGGTGAGGGAAGGCAGAGAGGTGGGAGGGCGACCAAAGGCACGGTCGAAGAGATCAACAACAAGCTTTCATAATTTTAGGCACATTAGGATCTATTTTGTTCTATTTACAGAATGGAGGCACTGCAATAATACCCGGTATTTACCAGCCCTTGGACATCTGTAGACTCAGATAGGTATTGCCAAGACTGCTGGTGTTGTTTGATTGATCCATCCAAACTACTTTTCAACATTTTCCTTTATTCCTCACACTACTTAAGTTATTTTCTTCAGATCTCAAGCAACCTCCTTCTCAATGCTTTACAGATCTCTAAAAGAGACCCAAACTAGCAGCGGTGTCCTTCACTAATCTACCCCCTTTACTAGCTGGTGCTGAATTCTGAATCTTGCAATCACTTATACAGCAGTTGTTGCAGTGATGCAAAACTTTGGCACATATTTCATTAACTGAATTTCCCAACCATTCCTTTATTCAGGGACCACACAGGCTTCTTTTGATTTTGAACAAGAGCAATGAACAAATGAAGTTGAGGCTACTGCTGTGCAGATGTAAGCACCTTTGAAGTTCTTTGCGACATTTTGACATTTTTTTCCTTACATTTCCATTCATTGACATGATAAGGCACTATCAAAATGTTCTTTCTTTTTTCTTACAATGATATATTACCCGTCTTTTACAAATGAGTAAAGATGCTGGCTCTCAATATGGTGAATCACTGTACTTTTCTAACCTTAAATATTTACCAGAAGATAAATTGGTATCAGGACTCATTTTTACAAACAAGGCTTAAAAAAATATTAGTGGCACAGATAGGTGGCTGTAAGCACAGTCGAAGAGGAAGGTTTTCAGGCGGGACTTGAAAAAGGGGAGAGAGGGAGAAAGGCGGAGGGATTGAGGGTGAGTGTTCCAGGGTTAAATGTAGCCCTTTCCCCAGATGTGAAGAAAGTAAGGCACAGATGTAACATAACTACAAGCCCTTGCAGTAGTTAATTGGTTTCTCGTACATGAGACACTATTGATTATTCTACAAAAATGTATCTATTATACTTTGCTACATACGCCTTAATATGAAATTGATAGATGTGCTCAGGGCAAGTCCAAGGTTTAAAAACTCTGAGTTTGTTTGACTTTGTACTTCGTAAACCAATAGTAGACACAGAACCAGAGGTGGTTATTCTGTTGCATTTGCTAAATGTATTGACTGATAATAATTATCTGAATTTACATAGCATCTTTCACTGAGGTTAACTGAATATGTTAATTTACACTGAGTTATTCTGCTCCGTTTGCTAAATGTATGGATACAATTAATAACAATGGCGTTTAAATTCTACTTAAAATGAAATTCCTAACACAAAATCAAACTATAATTATAAAATATCAGCATTTATTTTTAAGGGCCCAGCAAAAAAAAAGCTAAATTGCATTGTAACATCAATTTACATTGCAAACTTTTAGGTCGATAGGACATCTCAATATGTTTCAAATGACTAACTGGAGCACGAACATAGCTGCCAAGCGAGAGATGTGGATAGTGATCCCAGATCTTTTTGCAACAAAACGTTAACGGAAGGAAATCACAGTTTGTGAGTGCTGGTTTCTGGAAAGTTTCAAAACTAACAATAGCATCATAGCCAAATGTACAGTTTCCAGCCTAAAGCTTGGGGGTCAGAAAATGTGATAACTTTCTTACACAATCTTATTGGCTTCTTTTTCACCATTGCTCAGTGTCACGGAAGGACCATGGTCTTGTACAGGTGACGCACTAGGTCAATGGTTCTCCATGCAACATGTCGGTTGTGGAGGTGAGAAGGCTTTTCGAACATATGAAGATCTATGGAGTCCTGTAGCTCAGTGGTTAGAGCACTCGCTTTGCAAGTGAGAGACCTGGAGTTCAATTCCAGGCAGAGGGCGAAACCTTGGCAAGTTTCCTTACTCCACACAGAGCCTAATAATAATCCCTCCAAAACAAACAATAATAAATGGTCATTTTCAATCTACGACTGTTTGTGGGACATGCTGTGCCAATTGGCTGCCGCGTTTCGCCCCACAATATACGTCAATTCACTTTACAGTGTAGTCCTGTGAAGCGCTTTGAGACGTCTAAGACGTGAAAAGGCTATATCAAATGCAAGGATTATTATTATTATTATCTATGCAAAGGTAAACTTGGTATAACACAATGCTGTACACAATACCATTGGGAAATAAATTCACACCATTACATTTCTGCCAACAAATGGGGTCCTCATGATGTTGATGCTTGGTCTAATGAGCAGCTCTTCTGCTTTAACCAGCAGAGAACTATGGGGATTCACTGAATGAGACAAATTGCTTCAATTTGTGCAAGATTTTTTCATTGCGCAATATAATCTATTTATAACAGTGGCTGTTTGATTTCCCCCGCAAAAATCAGGTTTAATTGTATTGGCTAACAGAAAATAATACCATAGACAAGTTAACAACTGCAAATGGGTATTAAAATGTTACGCATACTTTATTGCATGTCATTTCAAGAAATTGACTTGTTTGTAACAACATATTTACAAGATTGTAGACAGGTAATGGTGAAAGTAAAGTACAATACCAATAATGACATACAGGTACAATCTAAACTCAACATTGTGTCAAGACGCATTATATAAACAGTGTACAGAAAACTCAACATTATATCAGACACCATTGAGACTATTTGTGGAGCATTTTACATTGATGAGTTTTGACAGAAAGCCTCCTGTAAGCTAAACTATTACAGTGTTGTCCATGAACAACTTGGGGACATTTCAACATGATGGGACACTACAAAAATGTGAGCTCTTTCTCTCTATGAAGTCAGAAAGCTGTTATAATAATCCTTGCATTTAGCTAAATGTCTTATTACATCATCGAGACATCTCAAAGTGCCAGAATGTACTGTAAAGTGCTGTTGCTGTGTGAACTTGGTGGGTGAATGCAGTAGCCAGTTTTGAGCACAGCAATGTCCCAGAAGTAGGGGATTTGTTGGCCAAGATACCAGAAGAAACCCCTCTCTTTTTGAATAGTGTCATAGGATCTTAAAAGATCACCTGGACAGGTAGTCAGGACCTTGGTTTAACATCCCATCTGAAGACGCCACCCCTGCCAATGCAGAACAGCCCCAGCATTGCATTGGAGTGTTAACATAGATAATATAGGTTCCAAGTCCCAAAGTGAAGCTTGTACCAACGGCCTTCTGACTCAGAGGCAAGAGTGCTACCACTGAGCCAAGATGATAACATAGCAACTACAGCAATTCCTCGTAATAAATTCACCTAGAAAAATGAACAATTTGTGATTTTAAAGGGTCTTAAAAGAAGAGTTATTCTTGCTCAACATCCAGCGAAATCGAAGAACAGTCTTATCAACAATATATTTAAGTATCAGCCAGCCCAGTTGGAGGCACTTTTATCTCTGAGGCAGAAGGTAGTGGGGTTGAAGCCTCAGATCGGGACTTTAAACTTGCATTTGATATAGCACCTCAACATGTGATTGGGACATCACAAAGTGTTTCACGGGATATACTGTAAAGTGGATTAACTGTGTATTTTGTGGCTGCGAAACACAGTAACCAGGTGCGCATGCGCAACACAATGTCACACAAACATCCATGAAGTTAGTGGCCAATTTTATTTGGGGGGGCCTTATTGGCCAGGACCCAGGAGAACAACAACAACAAAATTACATTTATAGAGTCTTTCACATGTCGGGAGGACGTCCCGAGGCGCTGAACAGTCAGGGGTCAGGATCTGAGCATGGGGGAGGGGTGGAGTAGGGGTGAGGGAAGGCAGAGAGGTGGGAGGGCGACTGAAGGCATGATTGAAGAAGAGGGTCTTGAGACCGGCCTTGAAGGAGGCAAGGGAGAAACTCCCTTCTCTTTTTGAATAGTGCTATAGGATCTTTAACATCCACCTGAATAAGTAGATTGGACCTCAGTTTAACGTCTCATCCGAAGGAGGGCACCTCCAACATTGCAACACCCCCCCAGCATTGCATTGTCTGCTTAGACTATGTGATTCCAAGTCCTGATATAGGGTTTAAACCCACAAACTTCAGAGGCGAGAGTTCTACCACTGCCCCAGGCTGACACACGCTTTAAGTTTATATATAGCGAACAGTTTTCAAAGCGTGGGTGTGTGTTAACCTCTGGTGGGGCACAACATTATTTGATGCTGATTTAATCAGATGAGTTTTTGTACGATATAAGGCCCTATGTACGCTATTATGGTACAGAGATGTGTTACAATGTATTAAATTCACTGTATACAATGCAGAATTATTAGATACCTTCAAAGTACGTTATCAAAACCTTTACTGCTTGGTTTGTCCTATTTGTATAACATTGAATTTTCCGTACTGGCAGTAATAAATACAAGGTACCACTCCAGAATGGAAATGGAAACAATCTCAGAGTGTCTGTTTACAAAATCCCCCCACAAATTGATAAACTTTTCTGCAGAGAAACAGACCACCCTTCACATTAATAATAATAATAATAATAATCCTTGCACTTGGTATAGTGCCTCATCATGTCGTCAAGATTAATTAAGTCATTAATTTGTTGAGTACATGTTCATTTGAATCCTCGTAAGGTTGAATCATGTCATCTGTAATATCTATTAGGTGTGTGTTCATTTTTTAAATGTGCTATCTAGGGTATGTGTATATATGTGTGTGTCTGGGGGCAAACAGATGCACTAACAGAAAGGGGGTCTTCAGTGCTCAAAGTTTAAAAATTGCTGGTTTAGGCTGTCACTCGAGTACAGTGCTGATTGTATGCTGCATTTTTGGAGGTGCCGTCCTTCAGATGAAAAGTTAAATCGAGGTCCCATCCCCCTGTTCAGAGGATGTCAGGGCACTATTCAAAAAGCGAAAAGGAGATTTCTGCCAGTGTCCCGGCCAAAAGCCCCCAAAAAATAAATGGTCCCTCACTTCATGGCTGTTTGTAGGACTTTGTTGTGCACAAATTGGCTGCTGCCTTCACCTACAAATACACAGTTATTACACTTCAAAGTCAATCCATTGAAGTGCTTTGAGAAGTTTCGACAACGTGACAAAGCAAAATATCAAATGCAAAAATTATATTATATTTGGTCAAATTAAATTGATGTTCACAACTTGTGTCCTCTTGCTCTCCTCGCGGTGCATCCAAAAGTATTGTTCTGGCTTTATTTTCTCAATCTCATTTAAAATCTTAT